CCCGTGAGCACTGAACACCCGCCTCGGGTCGAAGTCAATTTACACGACAGCAGCGGCAACTGCTATGCATATGCATACGAGGTGCGTTGAAAGCAGAGGCTTGTTACCTTCAAAAGTAAGCGAAGAAGCGCCACGCAGTACTGTGTACTTCGTACCCAACAGCAGTAGTCTTCAGACAGGCGGTAGAATGATTTGGCCGTCCGCACACAGCGGCGCGCTTGGGGCTGGTGTGCCATTTTGTGCATGCTCGTTTGAGACGTATGTACGACTACACGCAAGCGTCCCCGCGTGGTAGTCATTGGCTTATGACAACTCCGTGTTTGAGAGGCAGGAGGTAGCAGCAGCTCCAACACCCGCTATGCATGTGCATGTTCCACCAACAGCCGCGACATCTACCGCACGCATGCGCTCGTTGGATGACACTACCGTGAACAAGAACTCTAGGCGTTTCACACTCACTTGTACCTTTTTTCCACACACCTGGCCCGATTCATGTTCAACTTGCAGGTGCTCGGGGTGCTTCAAGTACTAGGGAGAGGGAACTGCTTTGCTGATGTCGCAAACTTCTCCTTGATGAGCCGGACAACGGCGGAGCAGTCGTTTCACCGGTTCTGCCACTGCTTCGCCGCTGGTCTTTGGCGCACCTGGATACGTTTCCCGGAGGGAGAGGATCTCCGACGGGTTGAGAGCACCTACAGATCTCTTGGGTATCCGGGAGCCGTGGGATCAATCGACTGCACCCACGTACCATATGAGCGCTGTGCGTTTTCGGAGACCACAACCCACAAGGGCAAAGAGGGGTACACGACGGTCGTGTTCGAGGCGATCTGCGACCATGCTGGTCGCATCCTCGCGTCGACGAAGGGGTACCCGGGGGCCGAGAACGACAAGACAGTCTTTCAGCGCGACTTGTCCGTGCGGCGAGTTGAGGGGGAGGAGCCGTGGGTGAGCTACAAGTACGAGATGTACAACGGGACCGGCGACGTGACGGAGCACACGGGGGGGGGCGTACTCTTATGTTTTGCATGTCTTAGCGGTTAGACCAAGTATCCGGGGACGACGACGCCGCATTCCATGCCCACAGGCAACGTCTGGTAGACCACTTGGCGTTCGCAAAGAGCAGAAGCGAGGTGCAATGGTTCCGGGCGGTAGGAGCGGACACGCAATGATGCCTTCGTCTTTTTTCGTGTCCCCTGTGCCTAGTGCGCAGCATAGGGTGTGGGTAAAAGTATATTGTAGTCCCCACCCGTTGCGCTCCCCTGTNATGTGTTGTGTGCAAATAAATGCTCTTGTAGGTGGTTTTTGACAATTTGACTGTTGGTACAAGCATGTGCGGAGAGACGCAAGGCGTGTTGGATTTTGTGGCGGGTGGGATAAACTCTCAGCGCCGAAGGTAGTTGAGGCGGGGAGGGGCGGTGCGATGTATTGTAGGAGTTTACATATATTTTGCTGGAGACGCAAAGAGTGTTGGAGTTTTTTGGTGGCTGCGAGAAACATCCAGTGCCGAAGGTGGTTGAGAAGGAAAGGCGGGGCGCTGAATGTTTTGTTGGAGTTATATATTTTTGTTTGCGGGAGAGACGCTGTAAGGGTGTTGGAGTTTTGTGGTTGCTGTGAAAAACCCAGTGCCGAAGGTAGATGAGGAGGGAGGCGGGCGCTGGATGTTTTGTTAAAGTTTTTTTTTTGCGGGAGAGACGCAAAGCGTGTTGGAGTTTTTGGTGGCTGGGAGAACCATCCAGTCCCGAAGGTAGATGAGGGGAGGGCGGGGTGTTGGATGTGTTCTTGGAGTTATATTTTTCGCGGGGGAGACGCAAAGCGTGTTGGAGCTTTCTTTGTGGTGGCTGGAATAAACGCTTAGCGCCGAAGGCAGTTGGGAGGGGCGGGGCGTTGGATGTTTTGTAGGAGTTATACTTTTTTTCGCGGGGGAGACTTAAAGCGTGTTCGAGTTTTGTGGTGGCTGGGAGAAACATGCAGTGCTGAAGGTAGTAGAAAAGGGAGGCGGCGCTGGATGTTATATTTTTGTTTGCAGGGGAGACGCAAAGCGTGTTGGAGCTTTCGTGGTGCCGAAGGTAGATGAGAAGGGAGGGGGGTCACCCTATCCACGGTATTGTGTAGTGTACTGGTCGGGCGGGGGAGGACGGAGGCAAAGTTGAACTTTTCACGAGAGTACACACCTCAATTAAGTATCACGTGCTGTCCTGTTCGTGCAACAAAACCGAACATGAAGGATTGGTTCATGTATCGTTGCGTCACCTTGGCATGCAACGTTGCGAAAGAACTTTGGGTACGGCCATCGGTTATTGGTCCGCCATCTTTTACTACCCATACTGCGACTTCAAAGTGGAGGAGGCAAAAAAATATACTCCAAGAATACCTTCAACGCCCCGCCCTCCCTTCTCATCTACCTTCGGCACTGGATGGTTCTCCCAGCCACCAAAAAACTCCTACTGCACCCTTTGCGTCTCTCTCGCANTGGATGGTTCTCCCAGCCACCAAAAAACTCCTACTGCACCCTTTGCGTCTCTCTCGCAAAAAATATATATAACTCCAAGAACACATTCAACGCTTTGCCCTCCTTTCTCATCTACCTTCGTCACTGGATGTTTCTCCTAGCCACCCAAAACCTCCAACACTTTTGTGTCTCTCCCGCAAGAAAAAACGCCCCTCCCTCGTCAACCACCTGTTCTCAAGCACTGAATCTAAATCGCACCCAACACACAACATGCTTTGTGGCCGGCCTCCAACAAACCCAACACCAACAAAAGGGTAGTACCACCCCCGGAGAAAGAGCTCGCAAGGGAAGAAAGCATAAGAAAAATCTCTTCTCACGAAAGCACCTCTTCATGCAGGAGCGTCGCCAGTTGCTTCTGGAGATTGGGTTTGTCCGTGTCTGGCAGCATGAGCAGTTTTTCGATGGATTCGATCTTCCTCTTCCTCGCTGCCGCCGCCGCCGCCGCCGTCTCCTCCCGAGCCGCCTTTTTTGCCGCCTCCTGGAATTTCCGGGGGTTCGCGGAAAAAGTATAAATGGGGTCCCGCCAAAAATTCCCCGGATTCCTGCTCAATAATAACTGGCCTAAACCTGCGGGTAGGTGTATATTCTCTGCGTGCCCCCCTGCGACTGCCGTTGTTGCGGAGCAGTTTGTCTCACACACCTTCGACATGAAGACGGCTGTACCGGTGCATGCGCTATGGGCGGGATTCTGCGCCTTGTCGCCCTGCCATGCATTTGTTCCGTCCAGCAGCCTGCCTTCCTTTGGGGATCATTCGGTAAGCGCATCATGGTGCGATTGTAGTGTTTGAAATTTGACGTCCACAGCAGTGGCGATGATGATGGTGCATGATGATGTCTTCTTCGCGTTGGTTTGCAGGAGCCACAGTCGCCGCTGTGGCGTAATGCTGTGCTCTTCCCGTGCTCTTCCCAGCGTAAAGCAGTACCAACACGTCAATCCTTGCACGTGCGTTGGTGAGCGCGTCATTCTGACGAAGGAACGTATGTTGTATAGTTTCAACAATCAACGAGGGGGCTTTTTTTTTTTGGAACAATCGAACAATCGAAGCACGCGGCGTCACTTCGATAGGAAGGCAGGAGTCGGGAGAGTGGGGCGATTTTCGGTCACGTTGTCACGTTGTCACGTTGTCAAGTGTAGCTTACAGCAGTAGCACCGGTATCCAACACCGCCCTTTGCTGTAATCCGGCGATGAGTCTTGTTGGGCGAATGGCTTACGCGGTGCAGCGAGGGACGCTGTCCTCTCGAGCTGCTGGCGTTGTTCATGCGAGGTACAATTGTATAAGGTACAGCAGTGTGCACACAGAGTGTTTTATCATCCACACTCAGACGCCCAAGCTGTCTTCACCTGACAGTTAAAGACTTGGAAACACCCCTTCACAATACTCCACAAAATCCATGCAGTAGAATCAGTCGTTCTTGTACACGAATACTCCAACAAGTCTCGAAGGCAAGCACCAGAACCAGTTACCTGCAGCGGCTTTCTCGAATCGTGGGTTGTTCTCAACATCAAGATATCAAGTCTGATAATGGGCAGCTCCACGTACGTGAAGCAGACTGCTGCCGATCATCATCTCCAATGTCGCCCTTGCCCTTCATCGATTCCGGCAGTAGACAGCAGTAGCGGTCGCACGACTTCGGACATGCCAATCGCACGGGTGCTGTTCTACATGGCTCTCAAGCGTTGTAGTTGCACACATACCGCAATATTTCATTACTACTTGATCGCCACCGTTGGGTACTCGTACCGAATCCGGCGCGAATCCGCAATAGGGGCCACGCAAACTGCATCCTACGGGGCACTGTCCCCACCCTGCCCCTTCACACCCTACGCTCGACACACACACCCCGACTCCTGGATACACTTTCGAGGGCTTCGATGTGATTTGATGTGTAGTCGTTTCATGGTGCCATCGACTGCCTTACAGTGTGGCAAACGCAGCTTTCGTGTTAGTGCCCTTAAGGGTTGTCGGTATCTGTTCGAAGGTGGTGTGTCATCGCGGGACGACGCGTACAAAGAGGACGATTCTTTTTTGTCCCAAGAATGCGGTTTTGTGGCATCGGCTGCCATGTATTGTAGATACCTAATGCCTGGATGAGGAGGAGAACCTCAAAAAAATCCTTTCTCCATAGAATAATGGTTTGATACAACGAGACACATACAGCACCAGCAGCCCTTCCTACACGTGGTTTGCACCAAGGGGCGTGAGCAAGCATCAACCGGTTACAGTCCCAGCTCCATCTAGCCGGTGGCCTGGGGGCGCAAGAGGCGACGGCACGGGCTAGAGGACGTTAAGGAAACAACCCCTGAAGATCCTGAGTGTTTCTATCCGTCCTTGTCTCACCCAAAACTACGTTCGACTACACTGTCTGTTTCGGCCTAGACCCCTTCGATTGGCAAGGCGTGGCCCGATTCGCTGGTTCTCGCCACAACTTAAACACCCATGGTAGTTTTACTCCTACTGCTGTAGCCATTGCAACCCGGGGAGCGGGGGGGGGGTTGTACGCAGAGCGCTCTCCACGCAAGACCCCCCTCCCCCCGCCATCCTGGTTCGGTTATTGTTTCTCAACCTTCATCGCGAGGACTGGACAAGCTACCTTGGAAATAGTCTACCCACTTGTTTCAGGCATTAAATGTTGCAGACACCAGGGGTGGGTGGAGAGTACCCCGTTCGAAGGCACACGTTTAGACGTTAATAGCTTGTTGTTGGAACGTCTGCATGTGCACCCCAAGGCCAGCCGGATCTCCACACTTTTGGCTTTTCTTGTCGTTGTTCACGGCCGGTTTCTCTGGGTACCCCACGACAGCGTTATCTTCGACCATATGTATATTCCTCTCGCACACTGCTACTGCCGTGCATATTCATCTGTACGAACATTGCTGCGCACCCTACAACCGTTGCTCAACAGTGCGTCTCCGCAGATGAGAAACGTCGAAGTCGCGTCGAGGCTTACTTCGTCACCGCACCGTCGGCCACAGGCCACATACGCCTTTTTAGTGGAGTATGATTATCGACGGAGCTGTGTTTCCTGACCCGTTGTCCGTTGTTTCTTTTTTCCGCGAAAGTTTGAGCCTTCAACGAAGTATTTCTTACACGCGGGCCGGCACCGATGTATGCCGTCGTCGTCTACTCAGGTTGTCGACGGCAGAACAGCCGCGTCTTTTGACCGGCATGGGCACGTACACGATTGTGCATATGGCGCAGCCGGATCGGCGAGGGGTAAAGGTAGGAGGCGGGCGGCTCCGTCTAGGGCGAGGGCTCAGGGCGACGCTAGCATGGGCCTGCGCAGCGCAGCTGAGAACACCTGGAAACGGGCGCGCGGTGGAGGGAAGGGCAAGACACGCAGGTCGGTGGAAGTCTTGCCTGTGCGTGTGTGTGTTTACCGTATATGACACAAGATAACACACCCCCTGGACCAATTTTTCAATGTTCGTTTACTCCACGACGAAGATGCATAAACGAAACGATACATTTTCGGAAAGCTCTCGACGAGACGGTTCCAACGCCGCCGTTTTCGGCGTCGTGACTTTTTCTGTTGCTGAGAAGTCGAGATTCGAAAATTGGTCCAGGGGGTGTGTTATCTTGTGTCATTTACGGTAATTTACTGTTGGGCTTCGACCGCGCTAACCGGCTGACCAACGAGAATGTGGGTAATCCCATTGCGCGTGAGAACGGGAGGCGCTATGTGTGTGTGTGTGTGCTTTTATTATTAGCATCGACCGCGCTAACCGGCTGACCAATGAAAAGACGTCAGTCTCAGTGCGGCGGGAAAAAAAAAGTGTGTGTGTGTGTGTGTGTGTGTCTTTCTTTTCGTTTGCGTCGACCGCGCTGACAGCCGCCTCATGTTCAACCTGTGTGGCGATCGATGTTGGGGGTTAAATAACCTCCACAGAGGCAGTAAGAGACGTGCCTCAGTGGCGCCTTCTGCACAACAGCACACCTATCTTTCCGAGAAAGGTGCCGTAGGTGACATGACACAAGATACCACACCCCCTGAACCGATTTTTTTTTAGCTCAACTTCTCGACGGCGAAGAGGATGCCAAAAATCACGTGATGCGGGTTCAGAAAATCTCGAAGAAGACGGCTCCAACGCAGCAATTCTCGGCAAAGCTGATCTCTTACTCTTGAGGATTAAAGAAAAATGATTGAAAAATCGTCCCAGAGGGAGTGGTATCTTATGTCGGGTGGTACGATAGTAGCTCAGAAGGAAGCTATCCCGATACGGGGTGTCCTAGGAGGGCGTCGAGAAGTTCTGTCGAGCCGTCTCTCTCTCTCCGATCACAGCAGTCTCCAAGACAAGCGACAGCAGCATCTAGGGTCGCTGGAAAGTGCGGGGGGAAACTTGGGGGTCATATCGTAGCTTCCGGCCTTCTTTTCTTGGCGTGTTTTCTGACGCCTGCTCAGGATTTTTCTCCGGCGCGCAAGAGCGATCGATCGTTTGCATCGTCTGACGGGAGTTGGCCCGCAACCACCAAAGGCGGTCCGTCCGCGTCTTTTGGGCCGGTACGGATAATACGATTATTTTGAGGATAGGCCGGAACGATTTTCTGACGTAAGATACCTACGAACGAGAGTGGCGGCAGCAGCCACAGCAACATGATTGAATGGCAGCAGCAGCAGCAGCAGCAGCAGCAGCAGCAGCAGCAGCATCAACAATACCTACAACGACAACACCACCTGAACATTCACTCGTCGTATGCCCCGATACCCCCAAAATCACCCAAACAGCGACGGCGAGCTCAAGGAGGGCATCGCCAACTTCTACGACAAATCTTCTGGTATCTGGGAAGAAATGTGGGGGGAGCACATGCACCACGGCTACTACGTCCAGGGGGTGAAGCCCAAGAACATGGAGCACCATAGGTGGGTGATGGGAGGGGAGGTGGGTTGCTCGTGTCCACAAATCGCAGGTTTCGGGTGTAGGACACGAGCAACCAACGCTGGAAGCCCAGGCTTGATTTCTGAACGCGATGTCTTGGGTTTGTTTAGCCCCTTTTCGGGGAGGGCACGAGAGCGTGGTACCGTCGCTTTCGAGTGGTTGTCCACCAGCCAGAGCCAGTTTCCGTTACTGTAGGTGACATGACGCAAGATACCACATCCCCTGGACCGATTTTCAAAGCTCGACTTCTTCACGACGAGGAGGATGCGTCGATGAAACTAAGCGTTTTTCGGAAAGCTCTCGATGAGACGACTTCCGCGCCGCTGCCATTTTCGGCGCTGCTGCCACTCTTGATGCTTGTGGAGAGTATCGACATGTGCAAATCGGCCGCAGGGGGTGTGATATATTACGTCACGTCACCGACGTTACTGTTGGCAACCACGGGGCCGCGTCCGGTTCTGTTTTTGGCATGGTTAACCGCACCCTTCATGAAACTACCGGGGGCTCACCGGACATGATGTGCATTCACCATGGTATTGCACGCCTTCTAGCAAGCGGGCTAGACGTCTCCACCACGGCAGCAAGAGAGCGTCAGCGTTGCATGTTGGAATGGGAAGCCGGGTCTATTTTTAGTGGATTTGGACCTCAGAGATCTGTCTGTCCAGAGCTTTGCGCTGGTGTGGATCTCTCTCTCCCCTCCCATATATCTTGAGGCACGTTTTGCCTCATTTCTACCTTGTCACGTCGTTTACCACATGTTTCCTCTGTGTTTCTCTCCCTCTTTGTGTGTGTGTCTCTGTCTCTCTGTCTCCCTTTCTCTTTCTCTATATCTCTCCCTCCCACTCTTCGACTGTCCCTATCTCTCACTCTCTGTTCTAGGTCTCCCATCTCTCTCCATCGGTCTTCTCTATCGTCGCTAACAGTCCTGACGTCTCCAGCCCAACACATGGTTTTCCAATAGCCTTCCCTGTTGCCATTAACCTTTTTTCGCCTACCTCTTTTCGTCTCGCCCCTCATGTTGCCAGGGCAGCCCAGAGGTTCATGATCGGTCGTTCGCTCGAATGGGCAGGGGTAGAGGAGGGAGGGGCAGCCCCCAAAACGGGAGTCGACATTGGTGAGTGACCCCCACCGCCAAAACCACACGCACATGGCAACATCGGGCGCCAAGAAGACTGACTCCCTCAATTATTTATTATTGTTCGAGTATGTTGCAGCCATGGCTATTCTGGGCGTCCGAGTAGACTTTTATTTTTTTGCACCAGCCGGGGTTCTCCAGGAAGCAGGTGAGTACAGAACAGAGGATGTTTATCTTCCCCACACTACGGTGCTAGCCTTGATGTTTCTTGAACGCGAGAAGGGTTCATTCATCATTCAGCGGTCGGCTCCCTCTTTGTTGTGTGTACTCGCATCACACGACAAACTGCCGTGCACTACTGTAACATGCGTTCGTTCACCTGTAAATTCCGTTTTCTTTTTTGTTTCTCGGTCTGGGGAGATTGGACCTCACCAAACGGTTTTTTGAGGATGCAAGCTGAGCCACGCAGCCCCTTGGGAGTGACCAGATACAACAGATTGTCTGATTTGCGTTGTTCGTTCGTAATAGCTGTGCGCACTGCTGTATGTGACGCAAGATACCAAACCCCTTGGCCGATTTTGTCAAAGTCGGATTACTCCACGGCAGCAAGAGAGTGGCGGTGCCGAAGGTGGTGGCATTGCAACCTTAACTTTCTCGTCGAAAGATTGCAGAACACGTACAGTTGAAGGGATGCATCCCCTTCGCCTTGGAGAAATCGAGCTTCGCAAATCGGCCTACGGGATGTGACATCGCCTGCGGTACGCGGTCCATTGTTGTTTGCACGTGGTGGGATTGGCTGGTGGCCACGGAAGGTTGTTTAGCGGGATTGTCGCTTGGCTTGCACACGTGGACAGATTGATGCCGAACAAATCGAAGATGAATGAAATATGTGTGTACGGCAGCAAACACATGGCATCAAATCTACTCCTTGTAAGCACACATGTCTTGTTTGTGCGACTACAACTCTCTCTGTCCCTCGTAAGCACCTAACCTTGCAAACCCTCTCACTCAGCACGGTACGTGAAAAAACTTTGGCTGTTCAGGAAAGACTTTGTAGTTCGTTTTTTTTTTTTTCCAAGACTGTGGCACCTGCACTACCAGTCACGGTCAATTATGTCTTCTGCCGGTGCCCGGTTTAGTACCGGTGAGTCTTTGGGGCGCCGTCCCTGCACTTGTGAAGGACCACTACTTAAACGGATCACCACCGATCCCAGGCTCCCATGTTGCCGATGTTGTACCCTCGTTCGTCACATGAATTCGTCACATCATGCCGGCACTGAGCCCTGAACGATTTCGGTCTTAGACGGGTATCCGTAGTTGCACGATTTGGGGACGAGGTTCACCTGGCGGTGTTCAGAGTTGGGCCGACGCTACTGCTGTTGTCGGCCCTGTTGAACGAATGAACCCCGTCTTCTTGGTGTGGTGGTGGGTATTGCTGCCCTGGTCACCCCTCCTGTCGTTCACCCCCCTCTCGTTAGCTGTGACGTACAGGTTGTGTTGTATGGCCATGCAATTGGTATTTTTTTTTTGCGAATATTATCCGATCACGATAAGTGGGTCTTGCAGCAGCCATGATCTCTCGGTGCCTAGTTGCGTATGATGTACCGATGCTGTGTTGTGGTGATTTTGCGGTGATCGTTCCCGTGCTGATACCTCTACGCTGCTGCTGCTGTTTTTGCTGTTGTTGTCATTGTCCTTGACGTTGCTGCTGCTGCCGCTGCTGCTGCTGCTGCTACTGCTGCTGCTACTCTGTTGTTGTTGTTGTTGTCGTTGTTATTGGTGTTGGTGTTGGTGTTCTTGTCGCTGTTGTTCTTGTTGTTGTTCTTGTTCTTGTTCTTGTTCTTGTTGTTGTTGTTGTTGTTGTTGTTGTTGTTGTTGCTGTTGTTGCCGCTGCCGTCGGTGGTGGTGGTGGTGTGGGGTTGGCTATGTCAGGGTGCGGTGTGGGGGGTTCCTCTCGGGCCATCAGCAGGAGGTACGGCACAAACATGACGGGCATCTCTCTCTCTCCCGTGCAGGTAAGCAAGCCGGCTCTCCCTCTCGCTCCAAATGCCCTTATCAGCAGTACGATTGTATCGATAATTTTATGGAGAGCCTCTCCCCCCGCACTGTCTCTTATTCTCCATCGCCATATGGGTGGAGGTCAACCGACCCTTCAGCTCGCATCAGGAGGTTGGCTCCTCATCCGTGGTGCATCACAAGCGTTTTCTTAGAGTGCATCAGGGATGACTCTCTTGGAGAATGGTTGCCTGCGTTACTTGTCAAGACTTTTCGGCTGGCATTTTTTTTTTATCGTTTTCGAACCTTTTTTGGCAGGTAGAGAGAGCAAAGAACCTGTCTGAAGCGGCGGGTCTCGGAGACAAGTGCAAGTTTCAGGTACGAATACTTGGGCGCGCTGTTGGGGCAAAAATATTTGCATGTTCGCGTTGCGCACAGGATCGATGTTCGTTGCACAAAGCGGTACATACGCTGTTTTTTTTTCAGTTTGGGTATTCGAGAGGTGTGTTACCACTAGGCTTGGGCCGCTAAATTGGCGCTCTTTCCTCTGCGCATCATTCGCGCAAGCATCTCTTGTCGTAACAAGGCCAAGCAGCGACGACAGCCAACCCAACAGCCGATTGCATCAGGTTTACGGCCACCAACGGCCTTCTGCAGGTGCTTCGTTTCTATTCAAGATGGACACGACGACCGCACGGTATATATTGGACATGACGCAGATGCCAATGCTGCCGCCGTTCGCCCCTTACTTTTTCGTGGTACTAATAGTTTTGTGTTTATGTCGGTATCGATTTTTATCGTTCGGTTGGATCGCCACAAGTACAATCATCACCTATGCTGACGGGAACTACAGTAGGGGCTACGATGTGAGAGAATGTTAGGTACTACTTAAGAGAAAGCACGGATTGAAGAGAAAAGATGTGGGTTGCACCGGCCATGAGAAACACACGTGGTACATACCACCACACAGGCTTCGGGTTAAGGTTAAGAGTAAACGACGGTTAAACCGTGTGTGTTGGGCTGCAAGAAACTTTATCTGAACCGTTGCCGCTGCACTACTTGAACATGAGGCCTGCTTGGCCGTAAGAAAAACTCTTCAACCCGCAGCCGCTGCTCTACTTGGAACACGAGGCCTGCGACACTAACGTTGCACCTCGCTGCTGCTGCTGCTGCTGCTGCTGCCGTCTTTATTGGTCTTGTTCTTGGATAGGTGGCCGATGCCTTGAACACACCCTTCGACACCGACTCTTTCGACCTTGTTTGGAGCATGGAGAGCGGAGAGCACATGCCCTACAAGCCGAAGTGAGGCAGATTGTGATTCGCATACCCTTATTCAGCTGTACTGTTTTTAACGCACCTCCGCAACGGGTCACATTAAGTTGGCAATAGCAACAGCCGCACTACACGCGAAACCCTCACAATCATGATCTTGGTCCATTTTTTGCGCGCTCGATATCTTGGCGGGCAAGAGCATCATGACTCCTGAATGCGAAACTTCTGTTGCAGTCCACTGTGACATGTAAAGCGTGTTTTTGTCCTTTCTTGAACTAGCACAGACCACACTAACCGACAGACCGTTTTTTTTTTCAGGTTTGTTGGAGAATTGGCCCGCATCTGCGCCCCGGGGGGGCGTGTGCTCGTTGTGACGTGGTGCCACCGCGATCTGGAGGAGGGGGAGACCGAGCTTACCCCTAAGGAAGAGAAGCTTCTCGCAAAGTAAGAAGCAGCCTTGTGTGCTCGTTTGATGTACCATTCCGCCAAAGGCCCTCCTTTAGAATTTCCGAGAATCTTCTGGCTGATCGGCCGAGGTAAGAGAAGCGCACCCCGGAAGCTTCTCGCAAAGAGGGAATAACCTTGCGTGTACTCTGTAGTGCAGCACCACAAGAAAGGATGTGGCGCCTGCAGAGTATTCCGAGAAATTACTCGGATGATGCGCAAGAGAAGCGCACTCCTAAGGCGAAGCTTCTGTCGAAATGAGAACCGTAAGTACTGTTTCGTGCCCCCTCCCCCCAAAATATGGTGTGTTTCGAAGCTTCTGAGAAGCTTCTCGTACGGTGTGCGACAATCACTGCTGAGTGATTTGGAGGGGGCGGGAAGTCTGAACCACTGTTGCCCCTGACCGCTAGATGTAATTAAGAAATTTCTTACAAACTGGGTGAAAACTACCGTAGGTTTTAAGGACCAGGACGCGCGGGGTTTCAGCGTTCAGAGAAGCATGTTGGATCTTTTCCCATCTTTTGGGGGGAGGCACACACCCCCCGTTGTTCAGCATTGTCTTATGGCGCGTTCTGAGAAGCTGTCATCTCTCGGTGGAGTAAAGAATCTTGCAGTGCACACGGGGACATGACGAGTTTGCACGCTTGCAAAGCCCTTGTAGCCGACGCACGCCTGGAATAGCGATTTGTGGTTTTCGGTGTTTCGGTTTGCAGGGAGTGAGATGGGGTGGAAGGTGTTGGCGTCGGGATGAAGAGGACCGGCCACCAATCGCACCGGATCTCACGGATGCTGATGCAAAGGCTGATCGCTTTGGTCCGTATTTTAGTTGTGGCTTTCGACTACGGAAACACAAATGCCGTACGCAACAGAAGATAGTGCGCCCCCTCCCACTGCCACACCCGGTGGCATTATGTGTGTGGTTCAACATGAGCCCGAAACAATAATACGCCGACGTAGAATACCAGCCCCCCCGCGCGAGGACATACTTATTTTGTACATGTCATACGGACTCTTGATGGATTCGTACCTCGTGTAACGCCTTTTAGTTTTCATGAAAACGAAAAACAAAAAAAACAGGATCAACAAGGCGTACTACCTGCCGCGATGGTGCTCCACCTCTGACTACGTCAAGTACTTCGAGGACGAGGGACTAGTCGACATCAAGAGAGCAGACTGGACGGACAACATTCAGGTTGGTGTGATGGCCTGGTTGTCGAGGAACATGTCCATGTTGTTGCAGCTTGCTGATAGGAAAACGTCGTGTGAGGCAACAGCAACGATGCCGGGATGGTAGAATGGGCTGCATCTATGCGTGATGGTAGAATGTTGCACAAGATCCTTCGGCATCCCGTTTTTTTTACGGTTTATAATCCTTATTCGTTCCTCCTCTTGAGTATCATCTCTGAAAAGGTAGCCGCCATTGTGCCGCGAAGGTTTGTCAAGCAAGTATGTAGTCTCTACGTCATTCGGTGCCGTGTGATGCCTTCTGCCCCACCCAGCAATGTCTCTCTGAAACGTTCTCTGAGCCCTTCTCGGGGCCGTTCTACTAATCATGCTCTCTGGTCGTGTTGTTGCTCGATGCTTGTCCGCAGTTTTTTCCACCCGCCCCTCTCACACCCTTTACTAACCTATTTTCTTCCGTTGTCTGACATAAGTCCACCCCACTACATCGCAATTTGATCGCTCCTTTTATTTTCTGAATTTTCGTGCTCTGACCGATCTCCTCCTCGTTCTGCGAACCGTCGTCCGAACGGTTCTACGAACGGTTCTCGGAACAGAACTTCTGGCCGGCTGTCATCCGATCTTCGGTGTCTTTTCAAGGCATCGTGGGCTTGCTGAAGTCGGGGCCTGTTACCATCCGCGGGGCGGTTGCCATGTTGGTGAGTGAAAAGTAAAGTTCTAGTACTTCTACCCGTCCCAAAAAGTGTTTTCGATGTCGGCCAGCGCTACAACCCCGCGGCACAAAGCCTCATCGGCTTTGTACCCCAACTTGTGGCGGGTCGAAACCTCATAGGTACACCTGTTCTAGCTACCGTCGCAGCCTCAGATGAGTTTTAGCCTTCAAATCGTCTGGACTTCCACTGGTTGGCACTGGAACACTGCACGACCCGCTTGTGGACCAAGCTACAGAGCAAACATTTGCGCCTCGATTCTACAACTTTTTTGCGTAAGCATGCTGTACCCGCCTATTCGACCAATTTCGTCTACGTACCCCCCCCCTCCCGCCTTTGCCAATTAGAGGGTCGAGTGGGCGGGATGAAAATGACCAGGACGACAACAGTGTCGCCCACCCCTGTGCAGCTCAGCTTCCTGCACACCCATCGGCTATGTTTCTTGCAGTCGTTGCGCAATGCTGCATCCGTGATATCGCTCTGGACCCTGCGAAACGAGCCTAGCTCACACAAGATGCCAAAACCCCTGGACCTATTTGCAGAACTCGATTACTCTGTGGCATAAACAGTGGCCTTGTCAAAAATGGCGGCGGCGTCCCATCTCATTCGAGTTTTTTTTTTCCTATTCGTGGAGTAATCGGGTTTTGAAGTTCGCCCCAAGGGGCTGTGCTATCCTGCGCAACCTGCGGTGCCCAACTATTGCGACCGGCCAGCAGTAACAGCACACACAAAGAGAAGGCCTCCAAGGGCAACATGCGCACGTTGTTCGATGGCAACAGGCCTCAGAGCGTACATCATGTGTTCAAGTTTCTACGGTTACGCAACGAACGCCTGTTTACGTTATCTCCACTGACGAAGGTACAATTTTCTTCCGTTCGGTGTTTTGTGGGGCAGCTTGCAATAGCACCAGGGGTATCATGGCAACACAGCAGCCGTGCGCTACCTTGGGGACCCTCACTACCCCTCCTAGGCTCATTTTTTCCCCGCCCCCCCCCCTGTGCTGTGCCAAACGCCTGGGATGTCTGTGGCTTTGCGTGCGCTCTCCAGCTGATGGTTCGAGGGTACAAGAGGGGCCTGGTGAAGTTCGCTCTCATCACCGGCAAGAAGCCGTGATTCTTGTTTTGGTGCATTCGATCGTTTCCTTGGTTTAGTCAAGGCACAAGCAGCAATACGGGTATGTTGTAGAATTCTTCCACCGCGCGAGCTGACGCCTGCATGGGGGGTTGTGTTGGTGCCAGTTTTTTAGTTAGCACCCAGTACGACAAGAAGGCCTTGCACCGTGTCACGCCACCGTAGAGCACCTTTTTCGCCTAGTGGGTTCTCATGGTCAGCATGATTTTTTACCAAGTATGCTGGAGTGTGGCCAGGACTGCGGCAATTCACTCCAAAGGCATCATACGACGCCCGCAGAACACACGGTACACCAACCGCCTTCCACGTGTGCCTGTGGCTTAGGAACTTGAGGCCTTATTTTTCCTTTTAGGCCCTCGGATGAAGAGATCAGTGGGCCAGCTCTCCTCCGGCCGCCCGGGCGAGGACCTCGCCCCCCCCCCAACCGCCTGCCGTTCATTACGGGATTCCCCCCTGCTTGTTCAAGTCCTTTCTCGGAGTAAATTTCTCGCGTGTGAATTACCGCGTGTAAGGTTTACCCCGTAATTGGCCAGGGACGCACCGGCCGTTTTTACAGCAACGAACGAGCAACGACTTTCTTCCATATTGCCAGGCCAAAACTACAGTAGTAGGCCAGCAGCGGGTCAGGCCAGAGGGCTCCGTTCGCCTTGCTGGAAGAACACGGCACGGGGTAGACTAACATGCCGCCGTGGGCCGGGTACGACACGGATGCGCACGACACGGATGCACACCGGCAGGGACCATTTGTGCACAAAAGTTCGGTTGGTCGTAGCCTCCAGGAGGAATAACAGCAGTGGCGGTGTTGGATAGAGTCTAGTCGAGAGCTTTCCGAAAACATGTCGTTTCAATTTCACGTCTCTTGGTCGTGGAGTAAGAAGTGGAGCTATGAGGTTCGCTCCACGGGGTGTGATATCTTGTGTTTCCGACGGTAAACGGAGAAGTAGTACAACTGCCGTGTAGATAAAACTCGCAGTTACAACAGGTTTTGTTCGTTCAGCAGGCAGAAGTTTAGAGGAGCGAGTGTTTTGGTCTTGGAGACAGGGCGGCGCCGGTAGCGGCCGTGCACGGGCGAAATTATCCCCAAATATTTTTCACCGCGTCAGCAATCGATCAAAGTTGTCGCTGTTTTGTCGGGGCTTCCGTACGGGACCTGACGCCGGGTGCAGAACGCACGCTTTGCATGCATCCACTGAATCGATTAGTAGTGGATGTTGCTTAAAAACTACTTTTATCTCGCAATACGCACACTATCGTTACGCGGCGTTGTACTCATCGCCGGCGAACTAACTGCTGTGGACGGTAGACATTCAGACTTCGCCCACCGTATGGCCTGTCCGTGATGCACCGGAATCTGCCACGGATGTCCCACACCCCGGCGTTGAGGTGTGTTCACAGATCATCCTCCACGTCGCAAAAAAGCGATTTAGCTGCATCATCATCATCAGCACGAACGAACTCAGCCAACGAAGAAACAGCATAGGGATGGATATTTCACGTCTACATTTCACATCTTGGGTAGTTGTTGGTTGGTCCACAAGGGCCAGACAAAACGCCACGCTGCGACGCTGTTGTATGTTGTATCTATGCATCTCGTCGTCAACCATCGCAACAGGGAAAAAACAACGGAGATTGCGAAGATGGAAAACCTGAAGTGAGCAGTCTGCACAGCAGCAGCAGCAGCAGCAGCAGCAGCAGCAGCAGTAGGACGGCATTTTGTCGGATTTGTTGGAGGTACGCAGTTCAAGAGGTGCTCTGTTGTTGTTGTTGTTGTTGTTGTTGTTGTTGTTGTTGATGATGATGATGATGTTGTTGTCTTCACTGCGCTGCTTTTATGTGCCGTTGCGTAGAACCACGCTGTTGGCCTTCGCGGACCTCCCGTCCTCCTCTAGACTACGCTTCTCGGTCACACTTGTGCATATCAGCGGATCAGCAGGCAGCAGAACAGCAACGGTCCTTTCGTTCCACAAGGCCTGTGATTCATCCTGAGCGCCCCGCTGTAAGCACTCCTCCTGCTGTACTAGCGCCGAGCGACGTGTCGGGAGCTCTCTGGCTCCAGGAATCACCTCGACAGCGATTGAAACTACAAGCGACCTGCGCGGTGTCGTGATCAGCCTACACACGTGGTCGTGGCGTCCAAAGTACGGACGTGTCGTTACGCTGTACCGGCACATTCAACAGTCCCGTGGCCTCTGCTCAGATATTAAGATCGAGCTTCCGGGCGGCCAGCCGGTCAGATGTGGGTTCGCATCGTCTACTATTACACTACTACGCCTAAACTTGAAAAAAGGTCTGTGCTCTTGGGGTTTGTGAGATATTTGGAAACCAACGAGCGCTGGCCACGTCGGTGAATAACTGCGCAGGTCAGTCAGGCGGGTAAGGGGACGAAATATCTGTCGACAGGTGTCGGCTTGTCGGCTCAACCACTTTCCAAGCGTCAGATTTCGCCGTACTCAGAGTTGTAGTATCTTACCAGCACAGAGAGCAGTTGATGTCGCAGTTTGACTGTAAAATCGTGGAATATTTGGAACTTTTGATGTCAAATGCCATCCGTGTAACCGAAGTTGTAGGTCACCTTGTTGAACAAAGGCTGCTGCTCAGGCCCGCCACTCCCAATCAATCCCACAACCACTACACCATCCTCGCTCTCCTCCTACAGAGCCTGTTCCCTCCCGACACCTCCTCCAGCAACGTCGACGTACAATACCAGTGAAGGCATCACCTCCTCTCTCATTTTAAGGTGTGGGTCTTGACCGCGCGATGTTGGCCTCTCCGTGTGTCACGGTCATGGACATGATGATGCTGTGCTGTACATGTAGTCTACTGCTGTAGTTGCATTTCTCAACGAGAAGGAGGACCGTCGTTGGTGCGGCAGTGACGACGACCAGCGCGCGACACGGGTACGTCAGCAGCTATACCACCTGCAGCAGTACAACAACAGCAGCAGTGTTGCGCAAGAGGTGCCGTGCCCTTCTCGTCATGTGCGGTTTGGCGTGATTTGGTGTTGTTCGGCACTCTACAGCAGTAAGCCCCAAGCCGTCCCTACACTCTTGTAAATGTCAACGCTTCGCGTTCGTACTTGTTTGCTCAGGTTCTTCATTCGACTGGACGAAAAATAGCGTCCTCCCAACCATTATGAGTGCATCATTACCGAATACCCAATACCTCATGTACTGTTCTCAGCTGTATACCGCTGTTATATCGAATCGCAGCTGCTGGTACGTGTGTAGACTAACCCTTCGTGTTACCCTACCGTCATACACACACTTGGTCGTGTTTCTGACCCTTCGTGTAGATGATACGCATCAGGACGGCAGATTGGGTCCGCACGTACGAACGTAAGCGAGCCTATGCGTTGTTTATATCTTCTTGTTTAACAACGAACGTCGCAAGCTGTCTCTTACTATCATGCTGCCTCCTTTCCGCCTTGCCTCTCCGGCGCATTGCCCGTGTCCCTTTCGCTGTGCGTGCCTGTGTCGGAAAATTCTTGCTCCAGTTTTTTTGTCCCAGAGTAGTCTATCGGCAGTTCAACAAGCAGAGCCATGGACAACTGGAGACAGGACAAGTGCACCGAAATCAACAAGGCACTCGAGCGCATCGAGAAGAGAGCAGACAGGGTAAGCCGAATGATGAGCTCCTCTTCTTCTGCTCTCAACCAAGAAGACCAGCCGCAGCATCAGCAGCAGGAGCAGCAGCAGCAGCAGCAAGTGGCTACCCTAACCAACGAGCTGGCTAGACTGCAAGACATGAACAACCGGCTGTTCGACTTCAGGGACCGCCTGTGCTTCTACTCGAACCTCGGCTACGTGGAAGCTCTCAACGAGTGGCAATACGAGATTCGAAAGTAAGTTGTTGCTGTTGTTTCTCACATTAGCTCTATTGTCCACAAGAAATGGGGAGCCCGTGGTCTCAACACCCGGCACATACGACGCCGCGGGGACACAAAACACTACCCATACACAACACCGTCAAAACTACTTGAAAGCTAGAACAACCTATCATTCCTCTATTATTCCCACATACTTTTCTTCGCTTTTTGCCTTTGGTCTTTTTCTTTCTTTTCTGTGCAAGATGGCCTTGTCTCTGCTTGCGTTGTGATGTATCAAGATTGAACCGGGGGTGTATGTACCTCATTCTCTCTGGCCCGTGATGGTGACCCTAGTCTCAGTTGTTACCTCGTATAAGCGCGCAGAAGGAATGGAGGACTCCAGAATATCTGTCGTTGATTTCTCGGGGCAAATTTATTTGAGTGTAGTACCTTTTTAGGGTAAGTCAACCTGCGACGACGGGAATCGACCACGTCGAGTGTTGGATCAGTACGGACATACGAAGGTACCGGGTAGAGAGAGATCGGAACGGTTTTTAATGTGAACACAACAACAACAACAACATACAAATGATGTAGTGCATGAAATGATACACTCTGTCGTTACTTATGGTCCGCGCTGCCTAAAAATATATGGGAAAGGTAGCTATACCTGCTGCCGACACACGGGCGAGAGAGGCGACCATACCCAATGCATTTAACACACACCCACATGTCAGTGATGAAACCCCAACCACACGCCTCTATCTATCGGCGGCCACGTCAGGAGGCAATGATGAGATAATGTTCTCCCGTGCCCTTCTCACATTGAACGACATGCCATTACACAACAAGGTAAATATGTTCTCCCGCGCCGCACATGCCCCCATACATCACAAACAGAAAATAAGTTGGTGACGAAACTAATACACAACCCAAGACGCGCTTGCTCCGCAACCACATAAGGGTGCTATTATAGAACATCCGACAAACCGAGTTCCCCTAAATCTTCCGTCTACAACTTCTCTCTTATACACATCTAGATGTGTAAAAGAGACAGGACTAGAGAAGNGGAAACCGTAGACATACAGGTAGCCTTCCGCTCACGCTATGGATTCATTGCTACTCTATCTTAGACGTATTTCTATAGATAGAGATGGATTTGTTGTGTGATATTAAGAAGAAAAAAAAAATAGGGTATGAACCACTCGGAAAATGAAGACAAAAAGATAGAAAGAAAATAAAAGGTACCGCACCGTCCGTTCGAGAAAAGAGCCCTCGGAAACCGATCAAAATCAAAACAAAAACAAAAAAATAGGAGGACGCTTCCCACACCCTCTTAAGTGTAGCCGGGCGTCTGTTTCGTTTTCATCATGATGATGGTGGCCTGCGATGATAGGCTGTACAGGTGGACGTATTTGTGCGTGCTGGTCATCGTTGGATGCATAATAAACTGTTGTGTGCCTTTTGGTAAGCAGCTGTTGTCTGATCTTCCCTCTCTTGTCCGGCCAATCAACCGGCGGCACGTGAAGGCGTTCCATGATGGAGTACTGCAGTGTTAATTTTGGGGTGTTGCCGGTTCTTTCCGCATCATCGATCGGTTTCCGAATTTTCCAAGAGTTTTCCAAGAAGCAGGTCGAGCGCGGCGCAAATTCGGCGGGATAACTCTCGCCCGCACATGATGCGGGATCCAATCTTTCCGACTCTAAATACCGACATTCCTTCCGATGCTCCTGTTGTGGCATACATACATGCGCACATGTCCTTATGATTAACCGAACCCCACGCCCAATCAAACACCTTTCTTTCAGGATCTGCGTCAAAGCCGAAGGCTTCGTGCACCATCAGCAGCGGCGCGACCCCCACCCCCGCCACCGCCACCGCCACCACCATCCTTCAGGGCACAAGCACAGCAGCAGCAGCAGCAGCAAGCAGCCAACCCTCGTGGAAGTGAGGTCAAAGTGACGACGCATGCGCCGTCACAACGAACGACCGTCGGCCGGACGGACGTGTTGCAACCGCTGTCAACCCTGGCCGTCATTTTCCGTCATGCCGGTGAAGGTTACCGTTTGTTGACACTCAACAGCAACGCGCTGTTTCGTCTCTTTTTTCCCCCGTCAATGGTGCGGTGGGCAGCGAACGGTTTGATGAAATGACGCCAGAACCGCCCGCCGTTGGTTGTTTGCAGGGAAGAGGAGCGACTTTTTTTTCATTGTTTTTGCTTAAGAGAGTTGGCCGTGTATTTTTTTTTTGTGTGAAACATCCCGCTCACGCTGGACGCCAGTTTTTTGCACCTTTCGGGTGGGTGTGTTTTGGTGGAGGCATCATCAGCCGGGTCACACGGGGGGGAGGCGCATGCTATTTCGAGAGCTGCTACTTAGAACATTTGTAGTGTACCATATTTCTTTCGGGCGCAATACTGCTGTGGCAGTGACCTGCAAAATAGAGAGCACACGGGGGGGGGGAAATCACACTAGGCATGGGAGAAGCCACTGCTTGATTACGAAGAGGGCAACTCGTGTTGTCAACCACGGCTTCAAATGGTGTTGCAACACTCTGCGCAGCATCTACAGTATGTACATGATATCGTTCGTTGTAGGCCAAGTACTACGTACGTACCGTGTCCTTTCCTTGTTTAGGAAGACGGTAAACAACACTGCAGGGAATGTCGAGATCGAGGAAAAATAGCAGTGGAGTAACTTTATAGAGGTGATGAACAGTTCGTCGTGGATCTTGATGATAGATTATGGTTCTTCGTGTGTAGACTTTTTTGTTATATAGACTGTCTTTTTCCGGCGTGCTATGCATCACAACCTTTGATCGGAAATATAGGGACCATTGTGATATTCGCGCCTGTATCCGAATGGCCATGATATTTTCGAACGGAGTTACTTCAGCGACTAGACTAGACTATGTTCTGCACGAATTGGCGTTCACCTGGAGCACGTCAGCATTGCCTGCGAGTTACCCCCGACCAGGTTATCCTCCGGCGTTTGTACATGCTTGCAGCCCTAGAGGATGATTGGAGAGCGTCATCGCTCTCAATCGTAACAATGGCCCACGGACATCACGTACGTGTGCTTTGACCTATTGTTGGTGCTATCCCGGCCTTGCGCCGGTGTTGGTTTGATATTAAAGCTGCTGTGTGACACCGTGTGATCGCTTCGAAACGGAGCATTCTAGGGATTTTCTAAAGCAGGAACTGGAGGCCTTTTACGACATGTATATTTCGATGTTGTTAGAGGGGGGGCAAACGAACAGCCTGGGCAGAATCGACTGCAGCACACGAGTAAGATTTTTTTCGCCGATGTTCGGGCGGACACCAGTCGTGCGCGATGAAAAAAGCACGACCGTGTTGGTGCTCAGTAGATCTAGAGTTTTGCATTTTTGAAACGGGAAGCGACGGCGGTGGCATTGATTTGCAGCCACAGGGTGCGTGCGTGCTTGATACTGCTGTAGAGTGGTTGATCGCACGCCGTGAAGCGTTCATGCAAGGCGAAATTTGTTCACGCACAATAAGACTAGTTGCGTGGCGTTGATCATGCGTATTGCCATGCCTACGCGCCGCCGAACGGCGTTGGGTGTTAGCTCGGAGTTCTTAGGGTGGCGACGGAACGTACCACCGTTCGTCCGCGTACTACAGTATCACGCGTTACCGTACGGAGAGCAAGTTGAAGTACGTAGACAGTAAAGCGGTTCAATCATGCGTTTGACGCCCCATATTGTGAGCAATTTAAGGACGCGCTTCTTGCAAGCAACTATGCCGACGAGGGTCTTATGGTCATACCTGTTGGGTACTGACACGTCGGACTTTTTACTGATGGTCGCGGTTACCCCCCTTGACTTGAATGGTTGCGTACACGACGACGAGGAGCTTTCCATGCCTCTCACGGCCAGTGGGTATCTCGGCAAACAGCGGTGCTTGACCGCCGTAGTATCATTCTCGACTCGTCAGAGTTACTGCTGTCATTTTCCACCAGAATTTCGCCCACCTGCGGCAACCATTTACCTGGGTTGCTCTTCACCCGAGAGAAAGAACGCAAGACTCGAAGAAATATTAATATATTAATAGTCTAAGCCGCTTTCTTTAACCCAAGGTATGTACATGTAGTCTACGCTTGGCGTTTTTGAAGGGCCGTAGTCAACGTGAACCAGCGAGAACGCTGTGTTTATGCCACGCGGGCATATCGATCCGCCGATGATCGACATTCGTCCGTCCGGATTGATTGCCCCGTTATCGTCCTGTGCGTCTTCTTGGTGAATTTTGAATGCCGTTCATTCGTCAAACGCCCCAACATGTATGTATTTGTAGGTTCAACCCCCTTCGATGCGTACCGCGCCCTTTCGGAGACAGACCCAGCATCAAAAACCGTAACAATACAATGGAGTAGAAGGTCTGTGGGTGAATACAAATAGGTGGACACTTGATCATGTGTACATGGCCGAGTGGGGTTGTTGCACCTCCAAGGATTGAGAGGGGTTGCGACGGTAGTCGTGAAATGTACAAGTATCCTCTATTTCCCTGCTGGTTCTCTCACACCGACAGCCAGGAAGTATGGTCCAGGCCCTCACTGATCAAGGAGAGACAGACCGACCCGTTCGATGGTCGGCGCGAAGCGTATCCCTGCATGGGACACATATACACATGACAAGAACACTTGCCTGGAGTTAGACCGTAATAGTACCAGACTCAAACCGCTGGCGGACCTGTGTGCATTTTCCAAGAAGGGTACCGCTCCGTTGCGTCACGGATCGGTTCCCACGCGGGAAACGAAAGAACGATGATATCCTGATTAACCTAACAACTGTTGTTCTACAACACCCGCCGCCCGGTTTCAACGTAGCGTTACAAAAAAGAAACACCAGGCATACATGGGGGGGTGATTCATCGTTCTCAATAAGAAGTTGGTGCAAGGCAAAACGTGGCGTGTCCACATATATATCGTGCTCTTGCTGATGCTGCTACCGTACGTGCTGGCGACCGAAACTGATGCCGGACAGACTTACTTTTCAAGAGCGCATTTTTTGCGCGCAGTTACACCCCCACTCGCCATCACCGTACGTAAGCAACCCTTTTCTTTCACATCCCCCGTCTCAACCCGTCTCCACGTTTTTCCATGCCATCTTGTCTCCACCGTCAGTTGTTATTGTTTGCCGCAACCTTTGGCGCCACGGCGTTTCGAACAACAGCCACACACCGCTCAATAAAGCGGGAGAGGTGCGAGAGACCGGGCAGCCGGAGTTTGGGCTCGGAGAGGGAGTTAGAGCGTTGATCGTGTTCGGGGGGGTCGTGTAGCTTGTGTCTGTCTCTCGTCTGCCGAGCGGAGAGTTTACAGTAGCTGAACGTTCTCGGCATGCAATGATCGGAGTTTCCCCCTGAAACTCTGATATGGTATGGGCGTAAGAACAAGCCCCAAACCTGACACGTTTGGTATTCCTCCTGCTATTTGTCACCATTCATTGCTGGGCCATAAAATGCATGCCCAGTGTGATGGCTACTTCCTCTGCTGCCCAGACACGGCCTTTACTACCGAGCAACGGCATGTGATAGGGAGATTCCCGAACGCCGTGCTCGGTTATGAAGGATACACAACGGTACGTGTTTCCTACACGTAAAGTGGCGGTGTGGCGGTGTACTCTGCAGTAGCTTTTTCGAAACGGGACAAGTTTCATTTCATTCCGACCACATATCCATTCGTACATACTCTTCGAGCGTTTGTCAGTATCACAACAATAGCAAGTGACACTTTGCGGGAACGTTTGAGGACGCAACAACCCCCCCACCCCCTTCCCTCCCTTCCCCCCACAACTGAGCACGATCACATATTATAGTGCT